TCTCAATGCTTACCCTCATTATGTTACTGTGTTAGTGTGGGGCTATTTTGAGCCTTGTATTTTTTATTGAAGTTTATTGAAAGGACTTCTGGTACAGGATTACAACACAATCCTCTATTCTCTAAAACATACAAACTAGATATATACAATTTCACATTTTGATTTTATAAAAAACACATTAAGAGTTTTCCTAACATCCTAAATAAATGACATAAAATTAATTACTTAGTTACAGACAAACTTTATAATTATACATAACTCATCTTTTGACTGGCAAAATGCATCCAGCCTATTCTTAAAGGAATTAATGAAAGGGGAACACACGACTTCTTCTAGGAGCTCATTCCATGATTTTACCACACGGAGTGTAAAAAAGTTATTTCTCTTTTCGGATATACATGATCTATGGTAAAGTTTCAACGAATTCCCTCGAGTCTCGTACCTGTTTTTCCATAACTGAAAGGTTCAACTGTTACATCATATATTTCTTGAACAAGTTTATAAACTTGAATCATATCTCCTAAATTTAAGAGTCGGCAAACAAAATTTCCTCAATCTATCCTCGTGTGACATGTTTTTCATTCCTGGAATTAATTTAGTAGCTCTTCTCTAGACCCTTTCAATTTTTTCCACATATTTTACTTTATACGGACACCAGACTGAGCTTGCATATTCAAGTTGTGATCTTACCAGGGATTTATACAATGGCAAATATATTTCCTTGTCTAAGTTTTCAAAAGTTCTTCTTATTATTGCCATCATAGATGTTGCTTTTTTGACTTTTTCAGAAATGTGTGTGTGGAATTCGAGTGAACCACCTACCACAACACCTACATCCCTCTCCTCATGTACTGGATTAACCATTATATCCCCAACTACATAATTGGCTACATCATTTTTTCCCCCAATATGTAAATGTTTACACTTTTCAGAATTTATCTTTAATAACCACTGATCACACCATTTGCTCATGCTACATAGATCTTCTTGAAGATGGGCTCGGTCTGTGTCGCTTGTTATTATTCGAAACGTTTTTGTGTCATCTGCAAACAGGTAAACATCGGACTGTATCATATCTGGCAAATCATTTATATATATAGCACAAATAGAAACGGGCCAAATACTGATCCCTGTGGGACCCCAGATGTCACCGGTCTCCATTCTGAGGCAGCACCATTCACTACCACCTGTTGTTTTCTGTTAAACTACCGATTTCTTTTACTTAGTCAATGCCCCCAGTACTAGCATTATACGCTAAACAGTTTTTAGAGATAAAACTCTTTACATTCGATTATCTCAGAGAACGGCTGTTTTATTAGACCAAAGGTTCATTTTGCGCCAGAGTTCTCCTTTAAATGCTGTATCACACAGACATAAGTCACTAATGCTTTAAACCCCTCACACAATATTAGTCTGGAACCCGATCGCCGTCAGTTCCTGTTTGTCGGACATCCCTGGAGTTTTTTCCACTTTAGAAAGCACAAATGTGCCAACAGCAGCCTCTCGCGTTTCATCCGTCCTCAGAGAGCCGGGATGTCCCAGTTTCCTCTTTAATCAGCCATCCTCTTGTCACCTCTGTGCGACTGCGCCTGCACAGAGGCTTTGGCGGCTCCACCATCATTAGGACTTCACAGGCGCTGAGCCGGACAGAGGCTGATCTCAGCCCACAGGAGACCAATTTCCCTTCATCCCAAACTCCAGCTTCATTTCCGTCTCGCTCGGTCGGCAGGAAAGCGCGTTCTGAGTCTGGGCTGGTTGGGAACGCTGTCAGCCTGAAGGGGAAGAGCCTCATTATTTTTTTTAGGGAAGAGAGGAGGCTTGTTTAGCCATGCCAGGTTGTATGTGGGCTAATTGGCAGCCACAACTGGAGCTGCAATATTTTCCCGGCAGCAGAAACTGACACCAAAAAAGAAAGGTGATTTTTTTTTTTGAAAAGTAATTCCTACTTTTTGATTTTGTTTTTCTTCTGACAGATTACTTCCACCTGTTCACTCTGAGAAATGACTTGTCGACTTTCCAGGTGGGGTCAGTACTGAGCTGAAAACGCCCCCACTGTCATGACTGACATAATGCATCCAAGGGGGAACATGGGAAAATAAGACCGAAATAAGACAAGAGATGAGAGATCAACCCCGAAGTCATTTTTTGTCTTGGTCCCTCAAGTATAGGTCCTTGGGACTTTCCGTTTTATTTTTGACGAATCCTCTCCTCCGTCAAAACAACGTGTGTTTAGCACACATCTCTCGCGATAGAAACCCTCATTTAGCCAGTGGCAGTGGTCCATCATAAATCTCACCAGAAATTCGGCTTGCCAGCTGTCAGTAAACGTTACATCCATTTGCAGTTGGCTCTGTGTCGCGGTTACGATGGATGTGGAGATTACGGTTTTCAATTGCACACCAGCTTGCCTGCGCTATTGTTGGGGGGGGAAACAGAAAAAGCTAGTGGATTCAGTCCAAGACAAATCATTGTCCACTCCTCGATGTGATGTGAACGACCATGACAGGTGTTGTGTGACGGTTCTGCCAAGTCCGTCAGTCATTAGACAGACCACAAAATGGTGACATCATAACACGAATCCCAACATGGTTGAGAGCAACTCTTCCTGCCTCTCCTTCATCTGGCTGCGGTCTCGATGATTGACGGGTTGTGTGAACTGATGGGCAGTTTGATGGTGTTCTGCTGGTGAGAAAGAGATCTGAAGTGTCTGCTGGGAAACCATCTCACTCGCATACAGGCTGTCAAGAGGAAGAAGTGCCGCCTGTCTCCAGCAAAGAGTCTTTTAAACAATTTATGTGGATATAAATAAGTTTAAAAAGCCCTGTGTTGCTCTGCATCCTCAGACATGGTGGGAGCCGTTTCATCCCTGCCTGAGTGCAACAGATTCAGGAGATCAATTGCAAATTTGGAGCTGCATCAGCACACGTGCACAAGTTATATTTACTTCCTGTTCTTGTGCATATCGACTGGATAATGGACTAGGCCAATAGAGGAAGCATGCAATTAAGGAAATGAACACCAGGGCCCTTTCTGCATAAGACCCATTGGCCAGCGAACACCGTGGGACATAGTGCATGCTTGAAATGAGGGCCCCCAAAATGCAGGATACAGATACGCAATTTGGGCCTGCAGAGGTGGGGTCCAAAGACTTGTGCCCAGGTGCCTTTTGGGACCTTGACTTTGAATGCTTTGAAACACAGGTCAACCAAAATGTCAGAGATATCCGAGTTTTAGTTACTGGTACTTTTGGAAGGCTGCTACTATTACTATATGCCAAACTTTGGGGTCTAGAGATAAACATTAAGCCTTCACTTGCAACACAACAGAGCCAATCATGCTTCCGCAAAGCATATTGACATTGAAGATGTCTTAAAATATATCCACTTTCCCTGCAAAGTCAGCAGTGACCAAACGAGGCGCTTTGAAATGCGGATTTAGGCTTCTGAACCAAAGTCCACAACTCACTGAGGACTTGGCTGCAGTTTGCATCAGTCAAGCAGGCTTCCCTTTCAAGTGTGCATTCGGCTTTGCAGTCGGGGTCCCCTGCTGCTTGGCAGTGGTACGCTATTATAGGACATTATTAACACCTGCTCGATATATGGAGTCGGTTCTGTTGTTTTTACTGATGTCCGTCATATCCTGGGTGACCCGTGCAGCCCGAATAGGAAGACTGGACGAGAGAGCTGTAAAACACAGCTGGAGTCTGATAAATCCAATGAAATATCAGCACGTTGACCATGAACTCCACGGAGAGCAACCGAGGGTTGAAGGTCTGAAGTGCGCAGCGTTCATCCGCCGGATCTCGCAAAACAATCAAGTCTGCCCAGGACCCCAAAGAACATTTAAAGGAGTAGTACACTTTTAAAAAAACTTTTGCTGATAATTTACTCACCCCCATTTCATCCAAGATGGTTTTTCATGAAAACATTCCTGGATTTTTCTCCATATAATGGACTTCAATGGGAACCAAACGGTTTAAGGTCCAAAAGACAGTTTCAGTGCAGCTTCAAAGTGCTTTAAACGACACCAGACGATGAATAAGGGCCTTATCTAGCGAAACCATCGGTCATTTCAAAAATATATAAAAAAGTTTGTTTTATAAGCACAAATGTGATGATTCTGTGATGAGCGTTCGTGACTCTCCTGTTCAAACTCGTTCATCAATATGAACAAATCTTTTTTCGAGTCATGACTCAAAGGGTTCTTGATAAGACCCTTATTCATCGTCTGGTGTCGTTTAAAGCCCTTTGAAGCTGCACTGAAAGTCTCATTTGGACCTTGAACCGTTTGGTTCCCATTGAAGTCCATTATATGGAGAAAAATCCTGGAATGTTTTCATCAAAAACCTAAATTTCTTTTCGACTGAAGAAAGAAAGACGTGGACATCTTGGATGACATGGGGGTGAGTCAATTATCAGCAAAAGTTTTTAATTCATTAATGAGTACTCAATTCACTGCCTGATAAAAAATTCTTCAAAATTGCTTTATGATGCATGTTGTTTAATACTTTCATATTTTTTTAAGATTAGGTTACATATAGTGGTAAATAGCCTAATCTTTGCATTTTTCAGCTTAATGTACTTGTTTAGCATACTGTTAACATTTAGCCCATACCCTAAGTCTCTTCCCATAAATATAAACATAGCAATCTTTCCAGCTTTAAATCATCCATTACCATTTGGGCTCCCAGGTTGTGATACTATAGTGGCTCCACAAACCTCTCAGTAATTAGATTAATGGATCGGGATTCATCATATCAGGAGACCTTCTTCCTATTTCTATCTTTTGTTTCTCTTTCTGTTCTCCCAATCTCACTCTTCTTTCTCACATCCACACACACACAAAAAAGGCTTTTGTTCATCCGTGTGGAACAGATGGCACACGTTGTATTTGAACACAAACAAGCTTTGTTGCATCCTCCTTTCCACCCACTCGCTTTGAGACTAACCTCACAGTCTTCCTCACTTCACCACAGTGAAATGCTGCGTGTCTTTGTGCAGGGGTGTGATCACTCCCACAGGTGGGCTGAAGGGGGGCAGGACGGCTCCTCTACAGTGCGTGGCAATGGCCGAGGGACACACCAAACCTGTGCTCTGCCTGGATGCCACTGACGAGCTGCTTTTCACCGGCTCCAAAGGTACAGTGTGCACCATTGAGGTTCATTCTCACAGTTATTCCTCTCATAAACAGCCATTAGCATAAATACACTTGAGCCAATTCGAAGTACGTTTCCTCTTTGCTTCGAGGTCAAAGCCTCAGCATGCTTCGAGTTGCTTTACCGTGGGTAGCTTGATCTTTTGAATCTATAGATATTACTCGCAGTGCTGCAATTAATAATTTATAAGCTGAAACTGTAGGCATAATTGCAATGTTTTGCACACCGACTTTTCAAGATTTTTGCTACATTAAACGGAGGGAACATTTCCACAATAAAACTAAATACATTTCAATTTTATACAATTTTAAGCATGTAATATTCCTCTAATGGGGGTTATTTTCTGTAAAACAGGTCACGTGTCCGGTTCAGGGGCCTCATGTACAAAGACTAGCGTTGAATTCAAACTAAAACATTGCGTACGGTCAAAGCTGTAAATGTGCGTACGCACAGAAAAAACAAACAGATGTATGAATGTCTGCGTACGAAGGATCCCACGCATATTCTCTTTGTACATCCCAATTAACGGAAAATTGAGCGCACGTGCACGAGCGCAATGCCCCACCCAGTCTCTTCCCTCAATTAAATTAAATATGGTAATTAGTCCAATTTGGCAAAAGAAACCTGCAAGAAACGAAATTTCACTGAAAATGTCTTCTATGAGAATATATGTGAAAGTGTAATTTATGAATTTTCAGCATTATTACTCATCTTCAGTGTCACATGATCCTTCAGAAATCACTCGAATATGATGATTTGATGATCAAGAAACATATGATTATTATCAGTGTTGAAAACAGCTGTGCTTCTACCATTTTTAGGATTCTTTAATGAATAAAAACTTAAATCAAACATATATAGAAGTCTTATAATCTTTTGTAAAATTATAAATGCATTTACTGGCACTTTTAAACAAATTCAATGTGTCCTTGCTGAATATTAATATTGCTTTCTTTTTTTTTACCTTTACTGACCGAATGAATGAAGTTTATTTGTTATTCCTAGTTAAGCCAACGCTGCCATTGCTAATGTTCTTACTTAATTGCATAATAGAATGTTTAAATAAGTCTCGTGTGACATAATTTGTAATTTATACATTATTTGACATATTATTAAGCAATATCTGACAGCTGGTGGTGCGATAGAACAATTCGTAGTAGTGTAATGTTTGCCACTTCACTTTATTGCCTCTAGGAGTCGCCAACGGACAAAAATCAAGGCAAATGTACGTACGCCAGACATGAAGTTTACTTTGAGGAACGCACATTCTTACATTAATTTCACTGTTAGTACATCTGGCCGTGAATGTAAAAACTGACGTACGCTGTGTTTTTGTACGTACGCAGTGTTGATGCATAAGGCCCCAGGTCCTTTGTATGGGCTTTGTTAAATATAGAGCCTTTATAGCAAAGTTGAGTAAACATATTCAAAGTTGAGCAATCATATTCACGTTGCTAAGATCAGAACCTAGCTAGGTTAGCTGATTACCTCAAAAGGCCATAAATATCGTCGTCAGTTTGTATTGCGTTAACACTTTCTCTGACAAGTGGATGCAATGAGACCTGTTTAACTGTGTTGATTTGATGTTCAGCATAAAGCCCATGTTTAACCTTCTGCTAGTGGTGCTGTGTGCCTAAAGCCCAAAATATACTTCAGTTTTAAATGTTGTCAATGTGAATGTCGTCCTCAGCATAGAACACATACTGTACAAACACATCCCGATTTTTCTAACCTCGCATATTCTGTATGCTCACCTTGGCTCATGTGATGTGACTAGTTTGCTCCAAGTAATTAGCCCACATGCAAATCTGCCTCGGGCCATTGTTTCGCAGTCGAAAAATAAAATGAGCTGGCACAACAACAAACTACTTAAGGACACAGCAAGAGACTCACACATTGATGAGCGCTTGCGTGAGGGAGTTAAGGGACACCCGCATCTATGAACTACAAAGACATGTTTATCACTCACACAATGACTTCTGGAGAGAAAATAGCACTTTCCAGTGTGCATGTGTCAACCGGCTGTGCTTATGCATGACATTAAATGTATTATAAAGTACTTTTTAATGTGCTGAGTGTTCGCATTAATTTGGAAGTACACTTCGTACTTATGGTTGCGGATGCCTGCCATAGTGCATCGTAAATGAGATGAATAGTATTGGGTAACACTTTTCTTGATAGGGTGTGCATAAGACTGACATGACACCTTCATAATCATGACATATGTTCTGAATATGAAGGATGTTTGTGACAACTGTCATTAAGTGTCATTCGCTCAGTTATGACAGTTTTAATGCAAATATGACATTGTTTGACATGTCTTTATGCACTCTTAGAAGAAATGGTTCTATTTAGAACCAGAAATGGTTCCATCCCCCGCTTCATATATGGAACTCCAAAATGGTTCTATATAGAACCATTTATTTTTGGTAAAAGGTTCTATTGGCCAAGTATGGAACCCCAGGGTTCTATATAGAACCCAGAGGAACCCTTTTTTAAGAGTGTATAGAACCTTAGGGGTTCCAAATATGTAGTGCTGATAGAACCTTTTAAGGTTCTATATAGAAACTTTTCTTCTAAGAGTTTGGCACCTTGACATAAACCAATACATCATAACCTGTCAGTGTCTTTGTCTTGTCATGGTTATGAAGGTGTCATGTCAGTCTTATGCACACCCCTTCAAGTAAAGTGTTACCAATCATTTTTACCTCTTGTTCAGATCGAACCTGCAAGATGTGGAATCTGGTGACCGGACAGGAAATCGTGACCCTGAGAGGACATCCAAACAACGTAGTGTCCGTCAAATACTGCAGGAACTCCAGCCTGGTCTTCACCGTTTCCACGTCGTATATCAAAGTATGGGACATTCGTGATTCTGTCAAGTGTGTCCGAACTTTCACGTGAGTATTTTTTCAGTGTCTGAAATTGGCTGTAGCATCCGAATGCACCTGGCTTTATGTTTAGAACGAAAGTGTGAACGTTGTCCGTCCATCATCAGGTCATCGGGTCAGGTGGTCTCAGGTGATGCCTGTGCTGGTACAACCACCCGCACCATCACTACAGCCCAGGGCGAGTATCAGATCAACCAGATCGCCCTCAATCCCACCGGATCGGTGCTCTATGCCTCTGCAGGAAACACTGTCCGCACATGGGACCTCAACAGGTGCATAGTTTATTCCTAAGCCAAGTACAGGCAGAAGTAGTGTTGGCGTTTATTGATGAATTCAAAAATCATCACCATGTGCGAATTCTGTTCTCAAAACAAGTCTTTTATAATAAATCAATGTTGGCTGATTTTAAGATTCTCTGTGCAGAATGCAGGCCACTGGGAAGCTGACGGGACACATTGGGTCAGTCATGTGTCTCACAGTGGGTTATTCTGGAGGAGGCAAGGATCAGGTGATCACTGGATCCAAAGACCATTACGTGAAGGTCCGTTTAACCATTTTAGTTGATTTCCCTTTTATTTATGTCTGACTTCTACAGCCGTGGCCAAATGTATTGGCAGTGACGTCAGTTTTGTGTTTCGCAAAGCTTCAGATTATTTGTTCATATGTTTCTATGGTATACTATGAAAACAAGACTGTTAGTGGCAAAAGCATTCAATATATGCTAAGAGTCAATGTTTGCAGAGTTGACCCTTCTTCATAACCGCTGCAATTCGCTCTGGCATGCTGGATATCAGCTTCTGGGCCAAACCCTGACTGATGGCGATCCCTTCTAGCTTGAGCCTGACCGATATATCAGCAGGCCGATATTAGGCATTTTCCAAACTATCGGTATCGGCGGTTATAATGGCCGATAAACTAATATTTCAAAAATAAAATAAAAACGGACGAAACACGCTTGAACCATGTCATCAGTGTTGGAGTTGTATAGTTTGTCCACTAGAGGGCACTCTACATTGTCCCTGTTGAGTTGGTCACGAGACATACATTGCTTGAATAACAATTAAAAGAACATCCCCATCAGATCTCTTAACTCAAATAAGCATGACAAAATTTGTGACTATCATGTCCAGTTTTGCTGCTGTTAAATAAGCCGAGAGTGAAGCGGAATTAGCTAGTGATAGTTACGTTACGTTGTTACAGTGTAGTTGACTGACTGTCCTTTTAACTTTTGACAATGTGACTGAAGTATTTCTATAATAGCGCGTGACAGTTATAGCAATGAGACGTATCATCTCTCCTTGGCCTGTTATATTGAAAATGTAGCTATGTTTTACAATTTGCAGTATGACGTTATCCATTGGTAAATTATGGCTCATTATAGACTAGCTAACCACAAAGCTAGCTAATGCCACTATCATCGGTCTGTTCTGTTGTGTCAATAAAAAAAAAACAAGTTTATTTTTAAAATGCATTAACATACTATTTTAGTTAAAACTCATAAATAACTACAAATAACTAATGTTAGGGAAATCTGTTAATGTTTTGTTGCGCATTTCTGAAAAAAAAAAAATAATAAAAATATCGGCCGATATATCGGATTTTAAAACCAACAAATATTTAAATCAGTATCGGCCTTCAAAATCCTTTATCGGGCGGGCTCTGCTTCTCGCCTTATTAGTGATCACAATTAGTGGGCTTCTACTGGTCCACTCTCTACTTTTTAGGACTGACAACAGGCTCTCTTACGTACGGAAGCCCTGAACCGCAACCTAAAAAAAAAAAAAAAATCAGTAAAAAAAAAAAAAACAGTAAAAAAAAAAAAAAATCTAGCATTTCGAGATTAAAGTCGAAATGTTTCGAGATTAAAGTCGAAATGTTTCGAGATTAAAGTCGGAATGTTTCGAGATTAAAGTCGGAATGTTTCGAGATTAAAGTCGAAATGTTTCGAGATTAAAGTCGAAATGTTTCGAGATTAAAGTCGAAACATTGTGCATTCATAACAGTGCACGTCCACTGGCTCAGAGCGCGCGCGCGTGTGTGTGTGTGAAGTCGAACTGCAATGGATAAACACAATATAGTAGCTGTTTACTTTTATCTGGGCTTTCAACAAAATCTTCACACGTCACACGTGCTAGTGGCAGTGTTTCTGGGGTGTTTTCGTGCTCGTCTAGTCAACACTATCTGGGTCGAGAACACAACAGTAACTGTTCGGTCTCCCTCTTCACCGTAAATACGCTCTGGATACATTTTAAGTGCATCATTCTGTATCCAATCATTTGGCCGGATCCTGTGATTTCCTAAGATTTAATAACCACTTATGGTTGAGGAGAGATTCTCTGATATGATTGTAAAGCACTTTGAGTGTAGGCATATATGAAAGCGCTATATAAATGCCCTATTCATTCATTCATTCATTCATTCATTCATTCATTCATTCATTCATTCATAAAGCTGGATTTCTCCATCCAGTCTGAAAAGTGTTTTCCGTGTTGGTTTTCCTATAGGCTAAAGTCTATTCCGGCGCATTATATTTTATAACGATAAAGTAAGATAAGTAATTCAGATAAAAGTAAAAAGCTACTATTTTGTGTTTATCCATGGCAGTTCGACTTCACACACACACACACACGCGCGCGCTCTGAGCCAGTGGACGCGCACTGTTATGAATGCGCAATGTTTCGACTTTAATCTCAAAACATTTCGACTTTAATCTCGAAACATTTGGACTTTAATCTCGAAACATTCCGACTTTAATCTCGAAACATTTCGACTTTAATCTCGAAACATTTCGACTTTAATCTCGAAACATTTCGACTTTAATCTCGAAACATTTCGACTTTAATCTCGAAATGCTAGATTTTTTTTTTTTTTTACAGATTTTTTTTTTTTTTTTACTGACTTTTTTTTTTTTTTTAGGTTGCGGTTCAGGGCTTCCGTACTTACGGGATTAAGATCCCCAAAAATGTCAATGGAATGATCACTGAGCTTCTTCATTATCACTCTTGCTTTGGGACACGGTTCTCCATCATGCTGGGAAACACACACATCACCTCTAAAAGTGTCTCTTGCTGGACGTTTTGATCTCATTCTTTATTCCTGGCAGTGTTTTGGGGCAGAATTGTGAGAGAGCCCACTCTCTTGGTGGCGTTCACCTCTTCTCTGGACAATCAATTTTCCAGATGTCCCAAACAGTCGGGAGGGTGCTTCATCACAGAAAATAACTTTGCACCAGTCTTCTGCTGTCCAGTCCTTGTACTTCCTGCAGAATTTCAGTCTTTTCTTGGAAAGAGTTGGCTTCTTTGCTGCCCTTCTTGACAGCTGGCCGTTGTCCAAAAGTCTTTGCCTGCCTGTGTGTGCAGAGGCGCTCATCACACCTACTACCAATTCTGAGAAAGCTCTGTACTGGCGACGACATGATTCTGTATCAGAATAAGGTCTGTGGTAAACAATTGAACTTAGAAATACTTGAACAACTCACACCCTAAACTGCCTTATAATAATAAGTTTAATTTATATAGCGTCTTTCCTAAGCTTCACAATGACAGTAAATACAAACAATTTACACATAAATGGACAATGGACAGTGGATTGCCCAGTCCAAGTAATGAGCGATTGTTGTTGCAAGTCGCATTACATTTGCAATACAAACATAGAAACTAGAGCCCGACCGATAAAGGATTTTGAAGGCCGATACCGATACAAATATTTTTTGGTTTTAAAATCCGATATATCGGCCGATATTTTTATTTATTTATTTTTTTTTATTTCAGAAACGCGCAACAAAACAATAACAGATTTCCCTAACATTAGTTATTTGTAGTTATTTATTAGTTTTAACTAAAATAATATGTAATATGATAATGCATTTTAAAAAGAAACTTGTTTCTTTTATTGTCACAACAGAACAGACTGATGATATTGGCATTAGCTTTATGGTTAGCTAGTCTGTGAGTGTTCAGCTTGCAAACAGGAACGGTGTAGAGTGCCCTCTGGTGGACAAACTATACAACTCCAACACTCATGACATGGTTCAAGCGTGTTTCGTCCGTTTTTATAACAAATTTTTAAATATTCATTGATCAGCCATAATAACTGTCGATACCGATAGTTTGGAAAATGCCTAATATCGTCCGATAATATCGGCCTACCGATATATCGGTCTGGCTCTAATAGAAACAAAAACACAAACAAAGATTATATTGTACAGTTGGACTAAAGATGCAAAAATGATTGGAGCTAAGTTAACATTGTGACTGTGTTATGTCAAATTAACAAGTAATATGTAACTTATCAAGTTACTTATTACTGCGTTCACCGACGCGAATAGCCTGTCTAATTCGCGTGTCAAGAGTGAAACTTACGTGCATATATTTTGCTTCAAACTTTTGTTTTTATGCGTGTCAGTTTCACTCTTGACGCGCAAATTAACACAAAGTGGTCAAGCGACAAACTAGAAGCGGTAGACGTGAATTTGACACGCTATTCGCGTCCGTTGTGAACACAAAGTAGTAAGTTACTAGATAAGGCATTTGGGCCGTGAGTGTGTGAGCTGTTCAAGTATTGAAGTATTTCACGCACTCAGAGGCGAAAGTTTCAAAAGTTTCGAACCCCGTTGGCGGCCATCTTTTTACAAGATGTCTGTTGTTGATGGGTCATTTATCGAGAGAGTCACCGCTCTGGAGAGCAGAACAGCGGCGTAGGGATCATCATCGTCGTATTTGGGTCCACCGGACCCCTCGGAGGCGAACCCAGCGCCTGGATGACGGCCTCTTTCAGCATTTTAACATGTGATCTATGGGTTTTTGCTCCCTTTTGGGACCTCCCCCTAGCGGATTTTCGATGTATTGCAGTTTTTCGCACTTCCGGATAGGCTTCATTTTTCAGATTAGTATGTTGCCGCTTGGTGTGGATGCTAATATTGTTATCGTTATAATAATTATCTTATAGTTTTCATTCTTGGTGTGATCAGACCTTAAAAAGAAAGTTGAGTTCTGGAACTTTCAGTATTTTGTTTTTTTTTTTGAAGGAAAATTAGATTTCTCAATTCATGACTCCTTTATTGCAGATATTTGACATTGCGGAGGGAGCCCAGGGCAACATCGGACCGGCTCATAACTTCGAGCCCCCTCATTACGACGGGATTGAGTGTCTCGCTGTGCACGGTGACATACTGTTCAGTGGTTCCCGTGACAACGGCATTAAGAAATGGGATCTGGGTCATCAGGAACTGATTCAGGTAAAAATCAAAAGATTACTATTAATTGTATGCGCATTTTGGTCTTTTATTAATGCATGATAACAGAATGTAATGTTACATGAACCCCTCCCATAATATACACCCTGTTTATAACTATTTATAATTAATTAATTCCTGTGCTATGTACAATCATCATACTGTAGCTCACAGTCAAAGCAAAGAGCCATGTGTGGAGAATGCTTTTCTTTCTTTTCCCATACCAAAGATGAAATTTTAGTCTTTCAAAAAATGTCAGTAATATTTTTTAAAGTTAAATATTAATTTAAGAAAAAATGGCAAAGAACTGTGTGACTATCAAGCCGTAAGTGCTTTAAAGAGAATAAATTGCGTTAAAGTCAAGACATGATTGACAGCGACAAAATTACAATGTCCAAACCCGAAAAAGAATATATACACAGACAAATGATGTTTCATAAAGTAATAATTCAGCGTTTACCTATTGTTCCTGTGTCAATAGATGGGAGGTTGACGTCATGGCGCTTAGTAATAAGTTTGATTTGAATGGTTTCTCCGGCTGATTATATTTGACAAAAACACATTCCAGCGTTTCCCATCATCCAGAGCTAAAAGGTCAAAAATAATGGAAGATTATTATAAGACGACATGAAAATGGGTTCGACATATCGAATCTCCTACCCATCAAGGATATTTGAATTACGTATTACACAGGTGAATTTCATCGTCATGATGATAATTTCATCGCATTTTGATGCTGAAATTTGAAATAGAGAATAAATATCACCTGGAGAAACAACGTGCCATGATGACTGAAGCTCTTTAAATGTATTTAGCTGTAAACATTTCCAGTTTATTGTCAGTTTTTGGGCATTTAGATGAAAGATTCCTTTATATAAAGCGATATCTTTGTCAATCTTTAATTTCTTGTCATTATGCAAATGTATGCACTGCAGCGCTCCCTAACTCTTATATTAAACACACACACACATCTGGGCTAAATCAGTCCACAGCTGTTATTGCACAGCCATATATATTTTTTTTTAATTATTATTATTATTTTTATTGACTGACAGAATTCCCCTCAATAGGAAGGCGCTTAAATCTAGTGCAGTTTACAATGTGTAAGCAGTGAGTTTATCTAAACACCTGTCCTCTCTGGTTGAACCACTGGGTAAGTTTGCCAAGATAAAGTTCTTTAGTTGCTCTCTTTTATGAGAACTTCGGTCCGTTTGCCCGCAGGCCTGTTGGCGGGATCAGCTGGAGTATGAAGTATAACACAATGACAACCGTACTTAAGTAAAAAGTAAAAAGTACCTAATTTTAAATCTACTTTAAGTATTAAAAGTAAAAGTACTTGCATAACAATTTATTCTCTTAATGACCATTTTCTAATGATTAATAAAACATTTAATTCTAACTCATTCAACCTTAATGATGTTCAATAATGATGGAAAAAAAATGTTGTCACCATTTCTGAAACAAGCTTTCAATTAGGCAATATAAACCATGCTTATCCTTACTATATGTTAATAACTATTTTGGCAGTAAACGCAATTAATTTATTAAATTTTCGCGTATAAATTGCACAATAAACACACTGCTTGCGAGACGCATTTATTGTGACCGGGTTGATATATCTATGGCAACCAAACGTCACTGGTGAGACTTCTATATAGAACCATTTTTTTTGGTAAAAGGTTCTATTGGCCAAGTATGTTCTATATAGAACCCAGAGGAACCCTTTTTTAATAGTGTATAGAACCTTTTAGTGGTTCCAAATACGTAGCGCTGATAGAACCTTTTAAGATTCTATATAGAACCTTTTCTTGTAGTGTAGAGTTCCCTCCCTGAATTAGTTGAGAGATATTCTTTCTTTGAGGACATTTCAGATCTGCATATTCTCCATTGTTGCGGCTCCTCTCTTCCCAGTCTGTCAGTAACGCTCTGTTTAGTTCCTGTCTCGAGAAGCCCCTCCTTCTGAAAAGCACACTGTGCTCTGATTGGTCGGCTGGAGCAGTGTGCTGTGATTGGTCAAGTGGGAAATGCCCCGCCCCATTCCATATCCGCCAGTTTCAGCACACTAACTAACTCGACCAGACCTCATCCTGTGTTTGCGTATGAATTATTTAAATGAGCAATATTGTAATGTTTTGTTCCCTGAAGAAAACCAAGACTACAATGAAGGCGTTTCAGGGAGTTCGGAAACATTGACACTGATAAAGAGAAGAAATCCCGCTGGAGGGACTTTGTGCTTTTATAGAAGAGAGGTGTCTAAACCCAATGTTTCTTATTTCTCCACAGCAAATCCCAAATGCGCACAAGGATTGGGTGTGTGCTCTGGCGTTTGTTCCCGGGCGGCCCATGCTCCTCAGCGCCTGCCGGGCGGGAATGCTCAAGGTGTGGAACGTGGACAACTTCACGCCCATCGGAGAGATCAAGGGCCATGACAGCCCCATCAATGCCATCTGCACTAACTCCAAGCAGATCTTTACTGCCTCCAGGTGTGTAGGTCATGCAGGGAGAAGCTACAACAGTAACGATATGCGGTCATGGGAATAACGGCGTTACTAACAGCGTTATCTTTCTCGGTAATGAGTAATCAAACGAATTACTGTTTCCCCCGTTACAACGCCGTTCCCATTAATGACAATAAAATGTGGCATTACTATAGCCTAATTGGGCTCACTGAAGCGGTTTCCATCCGAGAAGGCTCTCTCTCTGCCATAGGACCTGCAAGGTTTTTTCTCTGGTGTGTGTGTGTGTGTGTTTATGAGGCGCCGGACTGGACTAAAGCGAACCCCGCCAGCGCGCTCGACAATGCGTGAGAGAGTGTGTCCGCGAGCGCGCTCGACTCCGCGAGAGAGTTGTTGGCCAGTTGTAGTCTGTGATGTATTCAATATCAAAAGTTCTAAACCTAAAATTATGTTTTATTGTTCGACTGGTAATATTTAAAATAATCTCTCGCTTTGTCCCACAGCAACATTACGATAGTGTCGATTAGTGTACAATGTTTTATAATAATAATTTATTCTATGGTGTCCATTTCATTAATCTAACACATTTAATATTGGGTGCATCCAAGTTGTTTGACATGGGTCTTTATTTTTTTATTTTTTTAAGTAACGTAATAGTTACTTTCCCTGGTAATTAGTTACTTTTATTAATTCAGTTACTAACTCAGTTACTATTTGTGAGAAGTAACTCGTAACTGTAACTAATTACTTTTTTTAAGTATCATGCCCAACACTGGTGATACGCAACTCATGCACAATGTTGTGTGTTTGGTTCTATTAGTCTTTTAGATTACTGGTCTATGAAGTAAGCACTAATTTTCACATTTGAACACTAGGGCCCTACGTAAAAATATTTGATCAGATGTGCCTTTCGTTTACACGGCGACGGCGTTTTGGGGGCTTAAAAACGCTCCACCGTTGCGTAAAAACGCAAAAGTCTGCTTGACAGTGAAGGTTATACACAGGCGTACGGACTTGGTGTTGTTGTATGGCAGTGCTTCACATTGCCCCCTAGCTGCCTGGAGTGCACACTACCTTGAATTTCACACACTTTTGCGTCATCGCACACGGATTTCCCACCCAAAACGCTCATCTAAACGCAGAATGCGTTTAGAAAAGTGATAAAAAAAAAGCAGAAAAGTGATAACGCAACGCCACTTTCGCGTTTTCTCTTCAAATCGCTAAGTTTCAAGTTGCGATGAAACTCAAGCAAGCAAGTGGCTGGCTTTATGAGTTGAGCATGAATGTTTAAGGAACGAGCCACTGCTGTGTGTTACTCAGAGATCCACTGCAGTTCTGCTGTGGCTTTGCTTGGACCTGCGCTTTATGGACAAAAGTATTGGGACACGCCTTTTAATTATTGAATACATTTGTTTCAATCAGACCCGTATAAAATCAAGCATCTAGCCATGCAGTCTGCATTCACAAACATTAGTGAAAAACTGGGTCTGAAGAGCTCACTCAATTCGAGTGTGTTACTGTGACAGGATCCACCATTGCAATAAATCAGTTTGTGAAGTTTCATCCCTGCGAGATATTCCACGGTCAACTAGAAGTGGTATTATTGGAAAGTGGGAGCGTTTAGGAACAGCAGGAGTTCGTCATGAAATCTGAAATTGCGCACTGTATAGTAGGCACTACATTTGGTTTGAAACACACTTGACCATTAAAAAATGTCTATATAGTATGAATGCAATTTGGTCGTTCTACATTCGCCATGTTGTCATTGTCATGTGACCTACGACATCAGTTGCGTTGCATTACCTCAGTCACAAATCCTCTCCTGTGGCCTCATGGGATAGTAAAGTGTCCATCGAATGCACACTTCAGACTCTCTGAATTCCGACACATACCAGACTCACATACTGTTTTTCGCCTACTACAGTATATAATATAGAAGTAGGCATGTTCAGACACGGCATTAGTCTGTATTTTATATTTCGATATCGTAGAAATATAAGACAAAAACTCATTCAGAGTCAGTTTTGCATCTATATATTGAATTTAGGGTGATTTGTTACTGCTTTCAACTAGACTACATCATGCAATGAAAGCATGCTCTTTAATCACAAAGACGAATTGTTTGTTCGAAAGACCCTTTTCGTATGTTGAACTTCCCAAATTAGCATGTGCATTGGGAAAACAAGATGAAGAGAACAGGTTTTAAATATGGTAATTTTGAAATGATAATATAAGCAGTTATTTACGGCGCTGTAATGGTTCTAAATGGGTCATCAGCTCAACGAGTCCGTTATGTGTTGCTCGTCTGTTTCTGTGACACGGTTCAGTCTCTTACTCTCCTGTGATGTCCTTTTTCCAGACAGTAGACTACTTAGAAATGTTCACTCAGACTAATATGTTGTTAAGACCTACTTTTGTGCATTTCGGGGTGCTTGTTTGAGCAGATGGTGCAGGCAGGGGATTGTGGGATTGTTTGACTGTTGTTCATTAACGGCTGTCCTGTTCCTTCATCTCTCTCTCTCTCATGCCTTCATAACTGCAGTGACTGTCGTGTGAAGTTGTGGAGTTATGTCCCCGGGCTCACGCCCTGTCTGCCCCGTCGGGTCCTGGCCATCAAGGGCCGGGCCACCAGCCTCCCATGAGCCTCCACTAACCACCTCCTGCCCGCTTCCCTCTGGTACTGTCCTTTCTCTAGCTCATCTTATGTGTCTCTGCTTCTGTGCTTTTCTCCCCTTTTCCCTTTAGCGGAAACTCTTACAACATAGCATACTTACCACATAAAAGTGTTGGTTTCAGCCTCAGACGGTGTGCCGCTGATTATCAGATGCGTACTGCACAAGTAAAATCTTAAAGGGTCATTCAACCAGTGGAGACATGAATATGTATTGAAAGTGGGTCATATATGTAGCATCGTAAATTTCAAATTTGGGTCCTTCTTGGCCGATAAAAGGGAGAAAATGACTTTTTAGTGCTTGTGGATTGTAAACAACAATCCCCATAGTGCATTGCAATGCTCAGCTCCGCAGGCCACTCCCACTGCTCCGCCCATCAATGCAGACTAGAGTTGAGCTCCACTCCTGGAAATCATTTCGCACATTTCGTAATTGTTTAAAAAATATATATTATGAATAGGGCTGTCAGTTAAACTGGTTATTAAACGTACAGTATGCGATTTTTGGCCACCAGGGGTCACTTATTTAAAATAATAACAAAAGACGTACTTTGATGACGTCAAGAAAGAGCGTGGGCTCACGGGAGTTGTTGTCGCTGTCAATGACAACCAGCTCAGCTCATGGCATGACATCATCGTTTCACAAAATATATGGATATACGGCATCTCTCTGTAGATTTAGCTTGTCAAGAAGCTTTAAATGCAACCCCAATGTTTACCTGTGTCATGCTTTTTCTCCTGTCCCAAACCCTTCTCGGGTCATATTTTTCACCCGTACGTTTGAGGTTTACTGAGCTGGCTGTAGCAGCAGAACGTGCAGGCAAAGCGTAATTGTGGTCCATAACTATAATACAGACGAATATAAATATTTATATTACGCCCCTTCAATGAATGACCTATTTTAGAACATTTTTCATATATAGGGCGCACCGGATAATAAGACACATTTGACTGGGTTTGCTTTATGCATCCACTATGTGCTAAAGGCTAAAGGGAATGTAGTGAGTGCGCGGCGCCGGAGGTGAGGCGTTTATTTAGTAAGCATGAGCGCGCTGAAGCGGGCACGTACATTCGCAGCCTGACTCATATGAGTATTCAATGTGCGCGGCTCGTTAACAGCAACAGTTGGCTGTTTTGAATGAGACGACACGGTTACTATGAACGGGGAGCGCTTTATGCTCGTGAGCGGGCACGTGATTTACACACATAAAAATACGTACTACTTTTTTCTTCGTCATTTTCTTTGCTTTATTGGCGGTAGTCCAGTGTTCCCCTTTGTGTTTGGCGGTTTCGCCGGGTTCCACACGGAAGTTAGAGAAAATAGAGGAGTCAAAGGTTATATGACGCCATAGACGGGCGACGAAACGGAAATAAAGAAACGTCCCGTGTCTTCGAATTAAACTATACATTTCTCTGTATTTGAAAGTTGGTGGAAACTGTCTGGATAATGTAAGTACACATCTAACAGAAATATATAACATAGATAAAGTTATTTTTGCTATTTTTAAAGCAGAAAAAATACATATTGTGGCTTTAACGGTGTTAACGCAAACCCATTTTAACGGCGTCAATTTTTTTACTGTGTGATTACCGGTCTTTTTGGCCTAGCATACTTTGTAGCTTTTGCAACAGTACGCGGCATGCGCGCGCTGCGCTCTGAAACCCATTCATTTCAATGCCCGCGCAAGGACGTTTTGTTGCTTCGCCGACCAAAGCGCAAGCGGATCTAGCTAGACCGTAAACAAAACAACTGGCACGACGCCGCACACACTGGTTTGGGCTTTGTTAGTCGGCCAAATAGTTGGTTAACTTTACGTTTTGAGTGGATGACGAGCGCGAGACGCCAAAATGGACGCCAGTAAGATTCTGAATGGAAAGTTTACTTTTAAAAAGTTGACAAATGGTCCCATTGACAAGACCAAAGTGATCTGTGTGTTTTGTCGTTGTGAACTGAGCTATCATCATCGCAGCTGAAATACCACTTGCTGATGGCCAAACACACACACACACACACACACACACAGCTGATGCGAATTCTCCGCCCCCTTGTCAATATCAGGACCTCGTCAGTATTTCTTTCACCCTTTTATTGATGGACAGTGCTGCATTGTGTGAGAGATTATTTGCTCCATGTGTGAATGTTAGTGTGAAATTGAACACAGTATATGCCAATGTTGTTTTCAATAAAAAATAACATTTGCACAACATGTTGATAAGAGCATTAAAATGAGAAAAAATAATGGGACAAAAAAAATCAAGAGACATTTAGAATAGATAAAAATGTGCCATTAATTGCAATTAATTACAAGTTAACTAAGTTAACCTAAAAAAAAAAAAGTCAGTTAAAAAAAAAAAATCTGTAAAAAAAAAATCTAGCATTTCGAGATGAAAGTCGAAATGTTTCGAGATGAAAGTCGAAATGTTTCGAGATGAAAGTCGAAATGTTTCGAGATGAAAGTCGAAATGTTTCGAGATGAAAGTCGAAACATTGTGCATTCATAACAGTGGGCGTCCACTGGCTCAGAGCGTGCGCGCGTGTGTGTGTGTAGTCGGCATGGATAAACACAAAATCTCGAAATGCTAGATTTTTTTTTTCCGATTTTTTTTTTTTTTTTTTTTTTTTTTTTTTTTTTCGATTTTTTTTTTTATTTTTTTTTTAGGTTGCGGTTCAGGGCTTTCGTACATTAATGCGGTTAATCGCGATTAAATATTTTTATCGTTTGACAGCACTAATTATGAATAAAAATTAACATATTTTTTTCACAATTTATTATAATCTAATATTTATTGTAGTATAGCAGCATAAAAGACACAATTTTGTGGAAACATCTATATGAACATTTTCTTTTTTGGAATGAATTCAGAATCAGTGCTTTGCTATATTGTAGAGGAAGGGGAGATTTACTCCAGGTCGAGTGGGTTGACCGCCATCTTTAACACTGCTGGCCAAACAGACTCGTTCTGGCAAACACGTGACCGTTCCTGAAGGTTAAAGACGACTTGAGCGACTGCGCTCGATGGGACGCGAGCTGCACAATGTCTGAGAACACGGCTCAGCTGCGTCATTTTGTTGTTGTCAATTATTTCTCACTCTGTCAGTTGTATATCATCCATCTCTGTGTGCATCTTATCATACTCTCTCTCTCATAATTTGCACCAGTTTTGTTTCACAGGCCGACTTCTCAAATGTTTGATTCCACAGAACTTTCCCTCGGCTCTTTCACTTCGGCCCAGTAAAGAAGAATTGTACTAATTAAACTTCATGTGTTGTTTTTTCCCCCTTTCAGTGTTCTCATCTTTCAGAGAGCAATAAAAACATATTGCACCTTCAATTGTGTTCAACACGGGTGGCGTAAATCCTTTTAATTGGTTTGAGTTAAGATCTAGGTCAGTGGTTCTCAAACTTTTTCAGGAGGAGGCCCCCTTGTGTAGGGTGAATCATTTTGTGGCCCCCAAAAGAAAACTCATAACGAAAACATCCTCAAACGTACAATTGTACTTACAAATTTTAGATTGTACCAAAAACAAATGAATTTGTACAATGCTGGAACAACAGTTCTGTTTGTAGCTTTATGTCTTTGAATATACAAAATTAGTTAAATTGTACATTTCATTAAATATAACAATTTTTTATAAAAAATGGTTTTGACAGTTAACAATAATATTGTCTGAAAAGTGCAACAAAAGTATTGAATACTGAACATTTGTGATGTTCATAGTAAAACACTGAAAAATTAATTTGCTGATTGTAAAAAAGTGCATTAAACTTCTTACATTTTAAGGTAGTAAATGACAGTGGCTCAAGTTTGGTTTGCAATTTTGAACAGCAATCTGTTTTTTCAGCAAGAAACAAAAAAAATTCTACTCTACTTAAAGAAATAGTTTTTCAATATAGAAGACACAATTTTATACAAGTTTTACCATATAAAATAAATCATGCAATGCAGATTTCACATAGGACAATACAAACTTACATACAGGTAAAATCATTTTTTTAAATAATTTCATATTCTAGAATTTCTTTGCGGCCCCCCTAGCGCCATACAGGGGGCCACGGCCCCCAGTTTGAGAACCGCTGATCTAGGTACCACAAGATACATCATACTCTCGCCCTGCTTTACCAGGATCCACTGCGGTATTGTTGTTTTTAGCTGGTCATGTGTTAGCACAAAGCCAAAGTGCTGTTAGCAAGACAGGCGCATGTTAGAAATGTTGGCTAAAACATTCTTGTGGAAAATTTTTCATTTAATCCAATTTTTGCATAAACCACATGAAATTGCATATGAGTTATGCCTTAAACAGGAAAAACAATATTCTACTGGGTTAAGAAATGATTTATTTAATTTAAGCTACATTTCCCTAAAAATGTGGTATTATCTTACACACACATACACTCACCTAAAGGATTATTAGGAACACCTGTTCAATTTCTCATTAATGCAATTATCTAATCAACCAATCACATGGCAGTTGCTTCAATGCATTTAGGGGTCAAGACAATCTCCTGAACTCCAAACTGAATGTCAGAATGGGAAAGAAAAGGGGATTTAAGCCATTTTGAGCGTGGCATGGTTGTTGGTGTCTGAGTATTTCACAATCTGCTCAGTTACTGGGATTTTCACACACAACCATTTCTAGGGTTTACAAAGAATGGAGTGAAAAGGGAAAAACATCCAGTATGCGGCAGTCCTGTGGGCCAAAATGCCTTGTTGATGCTCGAGGTCAGAGGAGAATGGGCCGACTGATTCAAGCTGATAGAAGAGCAACTTTGACTGAAATAACCACTCGTTACAACCGAGGTATGCAGCAAAGACACAACACACACAACCTTGAGGCGGATGAGCTACAACAGCAGAAGACCCCACCGGGTACCACTCATCTCCACTACAAATAGGAGAAAGAGGCGACAATTTGCAAGAGCTCACCAAAATTGGACAGTTGAAGACTGGAGAAATGTTGCCTGGTCTGATGAGTCTCGATTTCTGTTGGTAGAGTCAGAATTTGGCGTAAACAGAATGAGAACATGGATCATCATGCCTTGTTCCCACTGTGCAGGCTGGTGGTGGTGGTGTAATGGTTTTCTTGACACACTTTAGGCCCCTTAGTGCCAATTGGGCATCGTTTAAACGCCACGGCCTACCTGAGCATTGTTTCTGACCATGTCCATCCCTTTATGGCCACCATGTCCCCATCCTCTGATGGCTACTTCCAGCAGGATAATGCACCATGTCTCAAAGCTCCAATCATTTCTAATTGGTTTCTTGAACATTTCAATGAGTTGACTGTACCAAGATGGCCGCCACAGTCACCAGATCTCAACCCAATAGAGCATCTTTGGGATGTGGTGGAACGGGAGCTTCGTGCCCTGGATGTGCATCCCACAAATCTCCATCAACTGCAAGATGCTATCCTATCAATATGGGCCAACATTTCTAAAGAATGCTTTCAGCACCTTGTTGAATCAATGCCACGGAGAATTAAGGCGGAAGGGGGTCAAACACAGTATTAGTATGGTGTTCCTAATAATCCTTTAGGTGAGTGTATGTGTGTATATATATATATATTGTATAACCACGATCAAGGCATTTGTTGATCCAATCGATTTTATTTCCTGGTTCAGCAACACGCCTCAGAATCACATAATCACAGTATATATATAATATCAAATTTTCTCAATTGAATTAATCCCTGTTTTTTTTTTCTAGAAAATTAATGACATCTTTATAAATATGCACTTATTTTAACTTTATCCCAACCTAATGACTGGTTAATTTGCATCCCGCTGCGAGTCAGAGCTCCGAGACGCGGTGTGTTAGTTAAGATGCGAGCGTGTGGTTCTGTGGGCTGCTTCACACAGCAGGGTTTTGATTTTTATTGGGATAAAGCAGTTCATGCGCCTAATTGGCGAGAGGAGCGGGGACTCGTGTGGCGGTTCCCTTTGTGAACTCTGGGTTTTGATGTGTGTGCCATCTCTTCAGTGTGAGGAGTGTCTGAAGATTATTGGCCTTGTGTATCTCCTCCACCTCTCATTTTATGTCTGTTTTTGTGTTTGTTTCCTCCATCCCACAGTGACATGAGAGTGAAGATTTGGAATCCGAAGATGGGGAAGAAAAGGTGAAGATCCTCCTTTTGGAAAGCTTGTTATCGATGGTGCCTTTTCGGGCTAATTGGACGCCACAACTTTAGGTGTCCCGAAACCGACCTTGGGAAGAAGTCCAGGGGTCAGCCGTCTCAATCCAGAAGGCCACGTGACACAGCCGTCTGCTTTAGAGGACACACAACTCGCCTGGGGAACTGCCGGTTGGATGTTTTAAGGTGCCATTTTGGTGATGCCGAAACTGTATAATCTGTACTATGAAGTGTCCTTCTGCACTTCCTGTCCAAACGAAAACAAGTGGACTTCATTTGTAGCTGCTGATTTTCCTCTGGAATATTTATCACGTCAAGGAAACTGAACGATCCTTTTTTTTTATTCTTAGAGAGCCATATGACTTTAGCCTTGACCTATTTCCAGAGACTGAATCACTTCTTTTCAGTATCCAGAGGATCTTGTGTTTACTAAAGATGAGCAGGTGCGGAGTTGCCGTCAATCTCGGCGTCCCACGTTCCCTTGAAACATTGTGCAATAGTATTGACCACCACGTTTTTTCCGATACCTTCCTCTTCAGGGGGGTTTCTCTGGACATTTCAAATAACTAATGGCTTCCTTAAACATTGTACAGCCCTCTTCCGATAGGCTTTTTTTTTGCTTTTAACCTCGTTCGCTCCATCCTGCTGTGAATTTTATGTTTTCTACCTCAGGTTTAAAGTTTCTTGCACTTCTTTATGGTCTTCTAGATGTGTGAACTGGTCTCAGAAGTGTAAAGCAGGACTTATAGTCTGCTGAGTGGACATTTTGAGGGTAATAAGCACATCTCATTGGGGGACTGTAGAGTTTGGTGACAGTTCTAGGCAGAATTAGATGTTTCCTCAGTCTCAAGCGTGTGACCGAAGGCATTGATCCCCTGAGGACCGTAGAGAAGGATTCATGTTGCTGGACACAGTTCTGGTACGACAAACCGAATTTCAGACGATCTAACAATGGATTGTTGGATATTATAAATTTGGTAATTTTGTTAGCCCTATATTTTTCTATATTATGCCCACTTTAAAACAGAAATGTTACGAGAATTTGCACAATACCTTTTAATATTTTCTTTCTTTCTTTTTTAGGGGACGGTTCACTCAGAAATACATTTGAATTTCTTTCTTCTGTGGAACTTAAAATGAGAAATACAATAGATTCTTCTAATGCCTATTTTCCATACAATGACGCTCCAAAAATCGAGAAAAAAAAGTAATAGGCCTTTATAAATTTGGTGTTTTGAAGCTAAACAGTCTTAAAATTCAATTAGTTACTCAATAAATCTGTCCATGTATATTCAAATATGCCATTTAAAGAAGTCTCACATCTATAATGACTTGTTCACTTTTGAAAAAACTTTTGCTGATAATTTACTCACCCCCATGTCATCCAAGATGTCCACGTCTTTCTTTCTTCAGTCGAAAACAAATTAAGGTTTTTGATGAAAACATTCCAGGATTTTTCTCCATATAATGGACTTCAATGGGAACCAAACGGTTCAAGGTCCAAATGAGAGTTTCAGTGCAACTTCAAAGGGCTTTAAACGATTCCAGACGATGAATAAGGGTCTTATCAAGCGAAACGATCGCTTGTTTAAAAAAAAATACAAATTTTTAAGTTTTATAAGCACAAATGCTCGCTTTGCTCTGTTCTGTGATGCGTGTTTGTGTTCGAACTCGTTCATCAAAATGAACGAATCTTTTTTCGTGTCATTTGGTTAATTCAACGAACAAAATGAACGAATTGACTCAGAAAAAGATTCGTTCATTTTGATGAACGAGTTCAAACAGGAGAGTCACACAGAACAGAGCAAGGCGACCATTTGAACTTTTAAAACTTTAACTTTGTTGTTAATTTTTATTTTTAATGAGCGATCGTTTCGCTAGATGAGACCCTTATTCATCGTCTGGTGTCGTTTAAAGCCCTTTGAAGCTGCACTGAAACCCGTTTGGTTCCCATTGAAGTCCATTATATGGAGAAAATCCTGGAATGTTTTCATCAAAAACCTTAATTTCTTTTCGACTGAAGAAAGAAAGACATGGACATCTTGGATGACATGGGGGTGAGTAAATTATCAGCGAAAGTTTTTTTTAACGTGAACTACTCTTAGTGCGTTTCTCTCTCATGCATGTATGAAGACGTGGGATATAAGTCACTATCCCAAGTGGACTACTTTAATCAATTCTTTCAGTTACACTGAAAAGAACAGCTGGAACAATCTGCTAAACTTCACCTTTTGCGTTCCATTGAAGAAAGACAGTCATTCAGGTTCGGAACGACAATAATAATAAGAATAAAACGCATATTTAGGTGATCAATCCCTTTAACCACCCGAATAAGTAGATCAGCCATCGATGTTTCTCTCTCCATGATAAAACCAGCCGTGTTAAAGTAGGTCAAATCAGGCGGTGTGTTTTCACACCCTGTTAAATGAAATAGGAAGCAGCCTCCTCTGCGTCGGAGGATTCGCCGTGCCTGATGGGGGTTTGTGGGCGTCTGCGAGCTTGTCTTGGTTGAACACAGGCAACTTTGTTTATTTTTACTCCATCAATCTTGCCGTGCCGCACGCCACTCCCTTCTCTGGCTTGCCCAGATTTACAGTCTTTTTTAATGAAACACATCTATCACAGAGATTTTCGGGCGGCCCTTGGCAATTCCCCACCTGAACGCAGTCGTGTACTCGAGCATCTGTGAGGAGAAGCTCTTATTTCCCGTCGACGGGGATGTGCTTTATCTGATGAACGACCCACCGCATGGAGAATCGCACATCAGGCACAGTGGGATTCCCAAACATACGACAAGAGATTTGATCATATTTGCGAGTTACCCTTTTTGATCTGTACATTTTCCTATTTCCAAATACACCGTGATGTGGCATCGCTGCTGTCAGTCAGTCATTTAAAGCTACTGCAATGTGTTTCAAAGGATGAATCTTTAGACTGGAGACATTTGCATAATGTAAAGCTCATTTACATACATGCATATTCATGAGGAAGTACGCAGTTGAGACTTGCTTAGCTTTCTGCCAGTGGTTCGCAGCATATCCGCGGTTTTAGATCGGACAGTCATCTTAAGATTATATATACGAGTTTTTGACCAAATTGTCCATTTTTGTCCTTTGAAACTGAGTGATGCGCTCATAAAAAGAACAGTTTTTGGACCTTTTCTGTGAAGTTTTCCATTACAAAGGCAAATTTATTAAATAATGATCTGAGAATCTACTTCAAAGAACTTTTGTTTTCAAAACTGTGAAAAATGCTGCTTTATGCCATCTTGCATCTTTTTTCTAAACGCGTCTTTGTTTTGTTCTTAAAGGAGATCAAAACGGGCGTCAAACGTGTTGCCAAAGTTTGTTTTAAATAATGTAGTTTTAAATAATCTCTTGCCAATCTCCCAAGTGAAACATACAACACATTCTGGAAACATGAGCTTAACGAACGTTTGCAAAAGTGCATTTTAATTCAGTGCAATTTACACATAATTTGATGTATAATTTCTACAATTCATTGTTGTTTTCAGCCATTGAGGTTTAGGAAGCGTGTTTGTACTATTCTAATGATGCATCCTATCGCAGGGTCAACCCTTTTGTAATAAGTGAGATGATTTCATTTTAGAAATGAAGGAGCATTGTTTCGGGTACCGTTTTGAAGCATTTTTTGGTACAACTGTAATATTCTTGGGAAAGGACCTTGTCAAAATGTGCTCTGTATTGCTTGGACTTAAAGACTGTGAAATTGGCTTGCGAATACAGTTCCATAACACGTCATCCACACGGATGATCTCTCTCTCAAATACTCACCGCTTTTCCAGCCATGCCAGCCTGCAATTCCACGTCCCTGGCTTAAATGAGTAGTTCACTTTTAAAAAAACCTTTGCTGATTATTTACTCACCCCCATGTCATCCAAGATGTCCACGTCTTTCTTTCTTCAGTCGAAAAGAAATTAAGGTTTTTGATGAAAACATTCCAGGATTTTTCATCAATGGGAACCAAACGGTTCAAGGTCCAAATGAGAGTTTCAGTGCAAACTGTTCAAAGGGCTTTAAACGATTCCAGACGATGAATAAGGGTTTTATCAAGCGAAACGATCGCTCATTTCAAAAATAAATAACAAAGTTTAAGTTTTATAAGCTCAAATGCTCGCCTTGCTCTGTTCTGTGATGCACGTTCGTGACTCTCCTGTCTTTTTGAGTCTTTTTCGAGTCAATTCGTTCGTTGAATGAACCAAAAGACTCGAACAGGAGAGTCACACAGAATAGAGCAAGGCGACCATCAAAGCCTTTTGAACAGTTTGCACTGAAACTGTCTTCTGGACCTTGAACCGTTTGGTTCCCATTGAAGTCCATTATATGGAGAAAATCCTGGAATGTTTTCATCAAAAACCTTAATTTCTTTTCGACTGAAGAAAAAATGACAAGGACATCTTGGATGACATGGGGGTGAGTAAATAATCAGCAAAAGTTTTTTGAAAAGTGAACTACTCCTTTAAAGACATTCTTAATATTTTCGACGTATCTGAAGTTTTTGGGGTTTATCTTTACGCGTTCAGCTTCACCGCAGTAGTTTACGGGGGTACGTTTAGTGATGTAGCTTTACAGTTGCTTATATTTGATATTCTAGGCCAGTTCTGCATGGCATGGACCTGCTTTATAAGCTTCTACATCTGTATAGAATCTGAAAGGAAAGCTTTTCTGTACAGGGGAGATTGTGTCTATTGATCAGCGTAGCGTTAACCTGAGGCTTTGCCCCCCCTGTAATGCCAAAGGTGTCGTCCCGGCTGCCTTACGGGCCACACTGCAATACGCCTGACGCCTTACCTCACTCTCAGCGTGTGGAACATCATGCCATCGCAAAACGCTGCTTTTAAATGCCTTTAAATAAATTTTTTGAAGAAGTCTGTTCGAAAGGTGCTTTCTAGTTACCTGGCAACCCTGGTAGGCAGTTAATACGCAGATTAGAAAAGACATTTAAGTAATAGAGAAAAAGGCTGAAATTAAAGGCTGGGCTGAACGCTTTATTGATCAGGTGTGGCGGGCCGGAGACCAACTACCGTACGCCTGTGAAAATCAATATGCTTTATCTAATCAATAGAATTGTGGCAACAGATTACAAGCAATATTATTCATTAAATTGAACAAATTGGAATTGAGTAATAATTAATCAAATTATTCCTTAAAGTTATCCATTTAAAATGAGTAAAGTTTACACCAAAAAATTGAACAAAAATATCTCACTAACATTCAGGTGTCAAAGATGAATTAAGAACTCTTTATTTTATATTGCCAACATTGAAGACACCTGATGTTAACAAGCAGAAAAACCTTAATTTTAAAACAAACCTAAACCAAACACTGATCACCACAATGGTGACTTCAATTTATGTTTTTTTGGTTGTTGTTGTAAGTTTTACTCATTTTAAATGGTTAACTTTAAATTTAATTAATAATTTTGCTTGTAATCTGTTGCCACAATTTTTTTTGATTAGATAAAGCATTTTCATTTTTACAGTGTACGCTCACGGGTGCCTTTTATCGCACGGACTCCTCCCAACGAATGTAAATGTTTGTATAGACTTCCTTTCTGTTTGTTACATGTGCATGCGACCAAACTGGGTGTAAAATATCTGACTGTAAATACTGTACAGGTTTTATTTAATGACGGTTCAAGCATTTCTCCAGGGAAATAAATGAAAAAAATGAAGAAAAAAATAACTTTGCATTTTCTTTTTGACTCGTGGCTAGAGTGTTCTTGTGCTGTTTTCTTGCTGTTTATCTCTCGGATTATAGAATTACGGTCGAGTTCCTGCCCGTGATGAGCCTGCAGATATGATCTGTCCATATGCAATCACTGGCTTGCTGTCGTCACACGCGTCTACAGGGAAACATCAGGTCACGTTTCACACCATAATCAAGAGTGGGAAAAAAGGTATTTTGCTTCATTAAAAATATGTGCAATTCATTTGTCTATATATATAGGTATAATATTTTATCAATTGTCAGCCATTAAAAACTAGTGTATTCTTCTAATTCATAACGGTATATGAATAAACGCATTGAAAAAGTTGAGGTTGCTAAGGTTATCTTTTATGTTTTTGAAAGAAGGCTGCATTTATTAGTTTAAAAGTGATATTGTGAAATGTGTTTTCTATTTGGACATTGTTATATGTCATTTATTCCTGTGATCAAAGCTGAATTTTCAGTCTAGTGTGTCATAATCTTTCAGAAATCACTCTAATATGATGATTTGCTGCTCAAGAAACATTTCAGTGGCACTTTACTTACCGCCTTGATGTATAAAGCATTATAAAAGTAACTTAAACGCATTAATTATGCCTTGTAATTCTCCTTATAATGCATAGAATGTTTTCATAAAGCATTAAAACACAT